TGACACTGAGCATTGCCTCTCCGAGGGGCCGGTGGTAAAGCAGGTACCCATTTTAATGGTTTACCTGGTCATCAGTCTCTTCCAGGGCTGCAGGAGGGGTTTCCTCTGCACTATTTTCTATCCAGCCAGACCAACAAACCCCATCCTCCTGACTTTTGCCTGCCCTGTCTTACTATTACTAGTATTAGGATCTTCCTCAGGGGGTTTGTGGCAAAATTTCCTCAGAGGCCTGTTACATGGGCCCTGTGCAGGCCCTGGTAACAGTCTGGATGCCAGGTTATTTGATGATGTGCAGTCATGTATGTTGTAGTATAAACCAACTGGTGGATGGCCAACTGAGACCCAGGTTTCTGTAGTGTGTCACACACACAGATGTCATGTTGATAAGCATGGGATTTCCCAGGTAAACAAAGTGTTAGATTCAGATTCTTTCGGTTCAGATTGGCTTTATTGATGTCGCAGTGGAGTACACTGAATTAAGATCAATATTACATAAAAGTACAATATAATGGTTGGCGATATAGGGTTAAAAGGTAGTGCAATAGTACAATACAGTACATGATTAAAATATAGTACAATAATCAATAAAAGAGGAGCGTCATATATACAAAGAATTGGTAGTGACAGTAAGAGAATATTCGCTCATTGACAATGCATTAAAAATAAGTTGAAGATTAAAAGTCATGCTGGTTCAACAATCGAGTCAGGTAGGGTATTGGTGAGTTTCTGTATCTCTGTGTTTTAGCCTTTGGAATGTCAAGTTTTTGAGCATTTCTGGTACTTCTGCCTGTGATGCTAGATCTGCGCCTCGGCAACCAATGCTCGAACTCAGACTTGATAAGTGATCTGGCAAAGTTCAGGCACAGAGTCTCACGCCTTTCGGCAAGCGTTGTGAGTTTCAGATGTTCGAGTGAGCTTGCATATCCGGTATAGGCAGGACCCATGATGATCCGACAGGCTCTACGTTGTATCCGCTCCAGCTGATCAACTTGTTGTTTAGAAAGTCCCGGGGACCAGACGGGAACAGCGTACTCCATAAGTGGACGGATGTATGCAGTGTAGATGATTAGGAGTTCATTTTGTGAGAGATTAAACTTCCTGAGACGCTTGAGAATAAACAGTTTCCTGGCGGCGTTTGCAGACATATGGTTGACCTGTTCGTTCCA